CTTGCTTTTTAAAATACTTAAAGTATTAAAAGTAAAAGTACTTGCTGAATGGATTACCTAATACCATACCATACCAATTTATTTGTAGAGCACTTAAAACAGCAACAAGGCCAACCAAAGTGCTGTACAAAAGAAAACAAATATGCACAGCGGACAGGAAAACATAAAATAGAAATACAGATACAAATAGCAGCAGGAGCTAACTAAAATGACCAACAGAGTAGAGAACAGACCGGACCAAAACAAATCACACCGTGTTAAAGGCAAGAGAATAGAAGTGGGTCTTCAAGCGAGACTTAAAGACTGAGAGTGAGGGAGCCTGCCGGACACTCAGTGGCAACTCATTTCACAGTCATGGACCTGCAACAGAGAAAGCCCTGTCACCTCTGAGCTTACGACGGGTTTCTGGGACTGAGAGAAGCATCTGGTCTGCTGACCTCAGAGAGCGCGGTGGAACATATGGCTGCAGAAGATCAGTGAGATAGGATGGGGTGGAACTGTTCAGTGATTTAAAAACATACATGAGAATTTTGAAATGGATCCGAAGGTGAATGGGTAGCCAGTGCAGGGAGGCCAAAACTGGCGTGATGTGCTCTCTATAGCCTGTACCAGTTAAAAATCGGGCTGCAGCATTTTGGACCAGTTGTAGACGAGCAATGGAGGACTGACTGATTCCAACCAGAAGTGAATTGCAGTAATCAAGCCTAGATGTTATGAAGGCGTGGATCACTGTCTCGAGGTTCTTTTTGTTGAGTATAGGCTTCAGCTTAGACAGCCGTCTCAGCTGAAAAAAACAGGATTTGACCATCATGTTTACGTGACTGTTGAGTTTTAAGGACGGGTCCATTATCACCCCCAGATTAGTGACCTTTTGTTTCTCTAGCGGGGCTAGAGAGAAAAGGTCAATGTCATGGTTCATGAGTGAGCCACTGGGATGGAACAGCATGACTTCAGACTTCTTCTCATTGAAGCTTAAGAAGTTTAAAGCCATCCAGTCCCGGATGTCAGCCAGGCAGTCAAGAAGAGGCTGAATAGAGCGTGTGGCTCTGTGCCTCAGGGGGAAGTAAATTTGGCAATAATCGGCGTAGAAATGAAAGGGTATGTTGTGTTTGCGGAAGATAGCACCTAGTGGCAGCAGGTATAAAGAAAAGAGAAGGGGACCAAGGATGGACCCCTGTGGTACCCCCCACTGGAGCGCTGTCGATGCCGAACTAAAATCTTTGATATTGACACAGAAGGTTCTGTCAGAGAGGTAGGACCCAAACCATTTAAGGGCTGGCCCTGTGATGCCCACCCACTGCTCCAGTCTAGAAATGAGGATCTTCTGGTCGATGGTGTCAAAAGCAGATGTAAGGTCCAATAGGACAAGCAGCACAGAATCACCTGCATCTGTGGATATGAAAATGTCATTAAAAACCTTCAGTAGAGCAGTTTCAGTGCTATGGAGAGATTTGAAGCCAGATTGGAATAACTCTAGGATAACGTGATCCCCAAAAAACTGTTTCAACTGAGACCACAATTTTTTCCAGTAGTTTAGAGGTGAATGGGAGTCTGGAGACAGGCCGGAAGTTGGACATGACTGAGGGGTCAAGGTTAGGTTTCTTCAGGAGGGGCTGGACAGCAGCATGTTTAAAAGTCTTTTCATGTATCTGTACTTTACTTAAGTAGAGTTAAATGTGGATACTTTTGACTTTTACTCCTCTACATTTTACATTAAGTATCTGCACTTTCTTCTACACTACATTTCTATAATGCAATGGTCTACAATACCATGACGGGTTCCTACCGTGTGTATATTTTCTGTAATACATTAATAGTGTTGAGTCATTTTAATGAACAATGCTGCAGATAATACATGTTTTTATTGTGTTTACTCTGTGACACAGTTCACACTTGGACTTGTGATTCTGTGCGTCAGAATTTCAGGGATGACCTGCAGAGTTAAATGTCATTAATCAAAATAAGAAAGAGGAATGATTATACCTTTGAAAGTTTTTATTTAACACAAAATAAAACCAATGTGTCATTTTAACTGCAATAAACACATTTAAGTAAAAGGTGTCTGCCTGAACAAAAGGGGCATTAGACCAAACAAAGGAATAGACTCTGATCATTTCAACTCCAGTTTGTCATCACCTCTAGTTAAAATATGTCTATTCAACCTTGTAATGGGTCAATATTGAACAATATTTTAACTTCCTGACACCATTTTCAAAACTTGGACCTGAGTGTTGAGACATTTGGAGACATCTCTTGTCTCCTAACAACCCATGAACTGACACATTTTAATATTGCAGCAAGAATTTCTTGTTCAAGTTCAGAAGAAGTTGGTTTTCAAAGTTTTTGAGTCCAGTCTGGCTCTTTTGGGAGAAAGAATCTGTCTTGCTGTACTGACTAATCTTTCAATAGTCTTTCAATAATCTTTTAATAATCTTTCAATAATCTTTCAATAGTCTTTCAATAGTCTTTCAATAGTCTTTCAATAGTCTTTCAATAAGGCCATGTGTGGTGCGTATCTTCTGGCCGACTCACCATGGTGGAATCCATTTTGGGTGTGTTAGTGGTGCTGCAGGTGCACCCAGCTCAGTGATGTATATACTAGAATATATGTCATTGGTCCAGCTCTTCTTGAAGGTGGGCCTAACGTTACCTGCCCACTTTACAGTGATTCAATGGACCAGCTCCCCTCTCACCGTTGGTTACTTTTAAACTAGCGAACAAATTAAAAAAACGCTACATGGATGTAACTTGTAATGCAACGCATTATAGAAATGTAGTGTAGAAGAAAGTGCAGATACTTAATGTAAAATGTAGAGGAGTAAAAGTCAAAAGTATCCACATTTAACTCTACTTAAGTAAAGTACAGATACATGAAAAATGTACTTAAGTACAGTAACGAAGTATTTGTACTTAGTTACATCCCACCACTGGTCTTCCCCGGGGCCTCACATGCATTTATTCACCCTCAAATATGCCGTTGAATATTTGAGTCAAAAACTTCACTGCCATCTCCAAGACATTTCCAGACCTCCACTGGTATGTCATCAGGTACTACTGCCTTCTCCTTCTTCATTCTATTCAGAGCTTTCTGGACTTCATCCTCACTAATTTTTCCCACTTTCTGGTCCACAGTTTCTATGACCTCTACTTTTCTTTCCATTTCACTCTCTTCATTCATTAGCTCCTCAAAGTACTCCTTCCATCTTCCCATCACACTCTCTTCACTGGTTAGAACATTACCATGCCTATCTTTAATAAGCCTAACCTGCTGCACATCCTTTCCAGTCTGATCCCTCTGAAATATAGAGAATAATGATGATAATAAATAATCTCCAAAAGCACCAATAAACTATTCAGTTTACTTTCCCTCTGTTTCAAAGCCAAAGGCTGCAGCTCCACAGTCTTTAATGGCATTCGGCATTTTAGAATAATTCACAGTTTTATTCATTCAAGCTTGAGGGTCAAAATGTTTCCAAGGAGGTTAAAAACTCAGGTCCAAAAGAACAAACAGCTAAAGAGGGAAACAATTTTCACAAACACTTCAGATCCTTCCTGTGACCCTCAGAGCTGCTCGACAATCCAAGAATTTTAAATGATCCCAACAAACAAGCAAATGTGGACCCAAAGGGATCCAGAGGAACCATTAAGAACAGTTTATGTTTGAGTCCTACATGTTCTCACATTTATTTTACCTTTTGAATGTAACTTTTACTGACCGGGCTGCAGCAGAACAATTGGTTGATGTTTCAGTCTGCAGCTCAGGGAACATGTGAAGTCTTTTATCCTGTTCATAAACGAGCTTTATGCTCCTGCTTTGAGTTCCAGCTAAATTTATTGTTCACACAAACCTCAAACTCAATTTTTCTATTAATCTATGTTAACCTTGAGGCTCGATTTCTGCCGAAGCTGTCAGAACTCTTGAATAACGTCAGCAGCATTTCTGAAAACCTCCTAACTTGAACTCTTACGTCTCAGAATCTGTTAGATCAACTTTTCATGATAGTGATTTGTGTTCCTTTCATAATAAAGACTTTTTTAAATAAAAGGTTTATTAATGCTTTATAAGGAGTTATCCATGAGTTTAAAACACGGTACATATAATCAGGCTCACTGGCAAGATCATGCGCTGTACTAATGTAATTTGTAGCTAGTTGTTCAGCTTACTTTGAAACAAAACTTATGTTTCATGTTACAAACTTACTAAGTTTACTAATGTTTGGTGTTCAATATCTACATTATGATTAAATTAATTAAAGTGCAGCACATGATTTTACCTAAAAGTGAATCTGCTTCAGTGTATGTTAAATAATTGAGTAAGTTTCATACAACATAAAAAAAAAAAATCAAGGCTAGGAAACTCCTAAGAAGTGAAAGGAAATATGAAAACTGCAGCCAAATACTGAGATTATCGTCATTCCTGATGTTAGACACTCCCCAGAGTCAGTTAGATGAACTGTTTCATTTTCCCACAGGTAAAACTCCTAACAGGTGCCTCACATGCAACATAGCCACCAAACGTTTGCACATTAAAGAAAGGTTCATAAAAATTCTCCAAGTTAGATTCTGACACACTTCACGTTCATTTATTGAGAGTTCCTCGAGGGATAATTGGTGGTTTGAATAAATCAGAACCCCAGAATGAAATGTTTCTGTTCCACATCCCTGCAGAGCCGGGCAGGCTGAAACAAAATGAACCGAACGTTACAAAAATATATATTGTAGCTCCTTTTAAAAATATATATTGTAGCTCCTTTTAAAAAAATATATTGTAGCTCCTTTTAAAAAAATATATTGTAGCTCCTTTTAAAGAGCCTTCAGCTTCTTTTCATTTCACAAGTCTAATAAGTTCATACTGTGTGTGTGCGTGCGTGCGTGCGTGTGTGCAGGTTTGCGTCTTCAGTGGCGTCAGTTTCTGCGCCAGCAGCAGGCTCCTCCCTCCCAGTCCAGGCTCCTCCCACTTCCTCTCAGCCTGGATAAAACAGGGCCTGTCCTCGCTCTCCAACTCCATCACGTCTCCACATCAGAGCCAGGCTCAGCATCTTCAGATTATCTGATTAAAGCCAACAACTGCAGGTAAGAAAATAAATCTGTAGCATCTTTTTTCACAGACTGTCTTTATTAATATTAATATTTCAAAAGAAGGATTTGGGTTAAAAACAGTATTTCAGGGTTTGACTGAGTTCTTGTTTTCTTCAACCAGTTCAGGTGTTTTTTGTTTTCACGTTTTATTGAACTTTGTATCATTTTCAACATTGTTAGTGAAGACTTTCTTTACATTTATGAGCATAAAACCATAGAAACTGTGGGTTTCAAAAGGAAATTTTAAAAGAATAGCTTAATTCAGAAAGGATTAGTCTTTTTTTTACATTGTAAGCTAATTATTTTTTTAATTTAAATTAAAATCTGAAAGTTATAGAAGAGGATTAGGGCCATGGTAAAAAGTAAAAAATAAACAAATAAATATATCTCTCAGAATTCTTACTAATTTCTCGTGATTCTGGGGCAAAAAAACCCACCAACACATTATTAATAATAATAATAATAATAATAATATTATTATTATTATTATTATTATTATTATTATTATTATTATTATTATTTACCAGGGTGGTCTATTCTCTTCTGTTGAAGGTAATAAATACAGAAATAGAATTTGTTTTTAAATACATCATGATAAATATTAGCAGTAAATACACTTTTTATATCAGAGCAACTCAACTGTCATGTCTGACATGAAGTTTGACAAAGTATGAATAATAATAATAATAATATTAATGACTATTTCACAGGTAAAAGTCAATAAAAAAATGCTAAATGATGAATATTTTTTCCATTTTGAATGTTTCAGTGATCACAGTATAAAAAAAGAAATGTCTTTAGTTTATCTTTAGACACAAAATTCTTCTGATTTGACTTTTTGCTGTTTTCAAGTTTTAAAAAAATAAAATAAAATTAAAAGTAGAACTAGAAGACATGACAGAAAAAATAGAAAAGACTGAGCGTTGTGTATATGAGCGGGAGAGAGTTTTTCCTTCACACCGCGTCACATCATTATCAGCTGGATGAATAATCAACGAGACACAACAACCAGCTGCTAATTCTATCAGCATGAAAACAACGAGTGTTCACACCACCAGGCTCATTTCAACCACATTATTAAAATCAATCTTTGTTTGGCTGTTACAGCGATACAGACTGGCATTTATGATGTAATGTGGATTTAAACCAGACATTAAAACGGCTTCATCTCACTTTTCTTCAGTATATTTTTATATTTAGATGTTTGAAAAACAGAAACAGCAGCAGTCTCAGAGCTGAAACAAAACTGTCAAAATTAAGAAGCAATATTCCTAAATGACACGACAAACATGAACATTTCTGAAGAGTTTGTGATTTGTGTCTTGTGCACACCCAGATGAGACTAAAAAACTGTAAATGATGAACATTTTTAAATGTGTGCGCTCAGAAGGAGGCTGAGCTGAGAGAAAACTGCTCAGATCTTTTCATTTTCTGCAGCTCAGACGTCTCTGAGCTGCTGGTTTTCATCTAATTACATGTTTTTATCTGCAAGAATTTGTTCCTTTAATTAAATAAAGAACAGCTTCACAGAGTGGGGACAAATAGCAACCAGTTTCACATTTTATTAGTAAAATGATATTCTGAGCATGAATGGTTGTTTTAATTTTGTTTTTTGTCCTTATTGTGAGCAAGTGAAATGTAAATTTAAAAAAATCAGTTATTTATCCATTTGATGTGATCATCTTACAATATGAGACTAAAAATGAGATCTAAATAAAAGATTTATTGTGTAATCTTTTTTAATGCTGACTGCTGTTGAGCTGTAATATTTCATCACTCTGTTGATGCAGAACACAAGATGATGATTGCTGAGCGCTTCATCAAATGTTAATCATCTCCGTGGTGCTGTTCTTCTGTAGCTACGTGATGATTTATTGCTGCTTTCAGCAAAACTCTAATGTCTGTAATTAGTTTGAGGCTCAACGAGCTCACATCAGTTTTATTGTCATTTGTCTTCTACAGTCATGAATGTAGGAATCTACGTGTGTGTTATCCTGGCTGCCCTGTCCAATGGCTCTTTAAGTTTGCCTTCACAGTCCATGGTAAGACCCCCCCCCCCCCAGAGAGTGGACAGCGAAGCTCTGGGAAAAGACAGCCTCTATGTTCTCTCGCCCCCCCACACACGCCGGGTCCGCTCGGCTCCAGTGCCCCCATCAGACCAGTTTACCCACTACAGCCAGCTCCACGGGGATGGGGATGCTCCCAGCAGCCTGAACCAGCTCCTGGCCAGACTCCTGCCCAGAAAAGGTGAGGGGAGGGGGGGTCTATGGGAGTGCCACTCAGTAAAAGGGGGGGGGGGGGGGGGGTAATGGCCACCCTTAAAAATTTGCTGCTCCTCTTCCTCCTGAGTCTTGAGCTTCTGTCACATTCTTATATGTAAAATTCAAAATGAAGAAAAACAAAAAGTTTTCGGCTCCTGTTGCTGATTAAAGAAAACTACTTTGAGCTGAACAGAATTAAATATGGTTCAGAAAGCACATGCTATAAAAATGCAGGTTATCTGTGCCCCCCCTGAACACTTTCTGGAGGTGCCCTTGGCACAAAGGTGTGGATGCACAGAACTAAACAGGGGTAATCGTCCCCCCCCCCCCCCCCCCCGCAGAGCTCACTGGTCCTACAGGAAGACAGAAATAGCAACCAGTCAAAATAAGCAACTTCAAGCTCTTCCTCATTTGGAGGTCATGAAGCAGTACAATCATCAGGTGGGACATGCTTTACAGACATCCCATAACTGATCCATGTCTTCCAGGCTCTTCCTCTCAGAGCAGATCCTCCCTCAGCAGCAGAGCCGTGGCCCCCAACCACAGGATAAAGGACAGAGACTACCTTGGCTGGATGGACTTTGGACGGCGGAGTGCAGAGGAGTACGAATACTCCCCGTGAAGACCCGGCTGGCTTTCTACCACACCTGACCTAACCACCACCACCACCACCACCACCACCAACACCAACAACAACAACAACAACAACAACAACAACAACAACAAGAACAAGAAGAATGCTTCAAAGCCTCAGCTGACTCTGCATCACTCTAAATTTAGAAACACCAACATCTTGATGGAGATGCTTGTTTCTCACAGCGTCTCAAACTTCGCAGGTTAATAAACAGTTTGCCATATTTTTGTTGATGAGTATCTTACAACCAGCAGCATCCATGTATTGTTTTGTTTTTTTACATCTCAGTACTTTCTTTCCTCTACCATAAACAGTTCAAACATAATTTTATTAAAGAGAAAACTAACAAACCACCAGAGTGCTGCAGTTTGTTCTAAACGTCTCAGATTTGTGCATGGACTGAGCTGAACACACAGCTTCACTTCCCTAATCGTGTTTCCAGCAGGAGGAGGTAAAAACCTGAAGATGAGCTGGTTTTCTAAAACTGATCATTTTTTCCTCATTTTATTCATGACAATAAAAGAAATATATTATAGCTATATTCAGTTTGTGCCGGCAAAAGAACAGAAGTGCAAAAGGAACGTCTTGTTAAAGACAGACTGGGAGAAAAGTTAAAGCATTAAATTTATTTCACATGAACTACTGAATTTTCTCCTTTTGCAAAAACGTCAAGGTTTAATCCAAGCGTTTGATTGGCTCCTCGAGGCTCATTTGGCCAAATATATATATATATATATATATATATATACCATCTGCAAAGAGTTTGAAAAAGGGACCAACTGTTCAGGATTTGCTCCAGAAAATAAACCCAGAAGAAAACAAGTGATCTGAAAAACCCAGGTGTCTTGCAATCAGAATGACCACACCTTCAAATCATCATTACTAGTTTTCAAACATCAGCGCTACGATTCATCGTTAGAAATATTGTTTCTTCCAGAAAGCATGATGTTAAAATAAATTTAACCAGATGTCTGCTGATGTTATTTGGTCCATGTAAGCGTGTATATATTCCAACATGGAGTGAATGTGTTTGTTGTGCGCTGCTTCAGGGTGGTGGTGAGAGGCTGCAAAAGTAGAAGAGACACAAAAGTCTTTACTGTTCCACATCACAGAGCAAAAGCAACAAACACTGGGTTACACGTCAAAATCCAAGATGGCCACCACCAGATATTTATATATAAACCAGTCACCCCTATCATTTAAAAAAAAAAAATAAATAATAATAAATGTTTTCTAGCTTTTATATTGCTTAAAAATATATAGCTTCCTCCAATGATATGGTGGGCAAGGCCACCATTGGCCACCCCCTGGCTCCACCATTGCTCCTGGTGGTGGATAAAATGACTCGTGCACCCTCTCTGCCAGGATCTGTCACTGCACTGCCTCAGACAAAACCAAAATGAATAAATAATAAAACCCAACTCTGTTCTTGTTCTATAAAACACTGACAGGTCATGTGACCTTGTGATTCACTGTAGCAACCATTATCAATAGTCACCCCCCCCCCCCCCAAAAAAGTACAAATAAAATAAAATACAAAACAAAAACTAAACTTTTTTTGTTGTTTTTTAACTTGCTTTTTTAAAATTTTTAATCATGACCTGACTGAGAATCTTCACCAAAACAAACGTCTGAACTTGGCATTCTGACTAAATAGCCCCGAGGAAGGGCCTACTATGTAAACAACGTCTAAAATAAAATGTATAAAATATATTGTTAAAAATGTATAACCCTCTGCAAATAGCAAGCGGCCCCCAGGGCACTAACGATTGGTCGTTAGGCTGGCGGTCCTCCCTCTACATGTGAACAGTTAGTTCTGGACGTCGGAAGCAAACTGGTTGATCCACTATGAGGTGGTGTTGCTGATGAGACTGAGTTTGTTGCTGATCCTCAGACTGAAGAAGTCTTTTGCAGAAAATACCAAATGCTTCAGAAAAAGGAGAACCTGTCCAGAGGACCTGACTCAAACTTGTTAGGTTAGACCAAATATATTTTATTTCTATATTGTCTGGATGTTTTACATGTGTTGTGTGAATTACATTATTTTCAGTTATTGTAAATATATTAATTTGTGACAGATCCAGTTGGGCTTGCTGTTAAATAGTTGTTTTGCCAGCTGTTAGCAGTTTCCCGTTTTGGACGCCATCTTAACTTCACCACGTTACAAAGGTAAACAATTTGTGGGGTGGGCAGCACGCCGTCCAGAGTTTTATTTACCTCTATGGTTCTTCTACACAGTTCTACCCACTACACACCAGAAACAACAAGGTCGACTTGCATTCCCTGATCAATTTCAGTCCAGAAAAACACTGATCTCGTCTCTTGGCGTGGCTGTGGTGCAGCGGTAAGGCAGCCAACTTGGAACCAGAAAGTCACAGATTCAACTTCCCACCGTGCCCACATGTCATGGTGTTCTTGGTCAAGACCCCCATTTCTTCACTGCTTCCCGGACACTTGCATAGCTGCCGCTGCTCCACTTGGCTGGATCTCAAGTGTGACGGGGTACTGTGGTGCTTGAAAGTTTGGGAACTCTTTAGTTCTATATTTCTGCATAAATATGACTTCATCAGATTTTCACACAAGTCCTAAAAGTAGATAAATAGAACCCAGTTAAACAAATGAGACAAAAATATTATACTTGGTCATTTTTTTATTGAGGATAATTATCCAATATTACATATTTGCAAGAGGCAAAAACATGTGAACCTCTAGGATTAATTTGAAGGTGAAATTACAGTCAGGTGTTTTCAATCAATGGGTGATGATCAGGTGTGGGTGGACACCCTGTTTGATTTAAAGAACATGATCTATCAAAGTCTGATCTTCACAACATGTTTGTGGAAGTTATGACAGGAACAAAGGAGATTTCTGAGGAGCTCAGAAAAAGAGTTGATGCTCATCAGGCTGGAAAAGGTCACAAAACATCTGTAAAGAGTTTGGACTCAACTAATCCAGAGACAGACAGATTGTGTACAAATGGAGGAAAGTCAGGACCAATGTTACCCTCCCCAGGAGTGGTGGACCAACAAAGATCACTCCAAGAGCAAGGTGTGCAACAGATGGTGATGTCACACAGGAGCCCGGGGCAACTTCCAAGCAGCTGAAGGTCTCTCACATTAACTAATGTTGATGGATCATTTTCCTCAAATAAATGACCAAGTCGACCAAATCGAGCCGTTAACATATATTTGTAATTTATCATTGTCAAAAGGAATATTTCCAGACAATATGAAAGTAGCTAAGGTAGTTCCTCTCTTTAAAAATGGTGATAAATGTGTGTTCAATAATTATAGACCAATATCCTTATTACCACAATTCTCAAAAATTCTAGAAAAACTGTTTGTGACCAGATTAGATAAATTTATTACTAAACAAAACATTCTAAGTAGCAGTCAGTATGGGTTTAGAGCAAAAAACTCTACATCAATGGCTCTCATGGAAATAATGGAACAAATAACTACTGCTGTCGATCAAAAACAGTATTGTGTTAGTATTTTTGTTGATTTAAAAAAAGCATTCGATACTATTGACCACACTATTCTCCTTGAAAAATTGAATAAATATGGTATAAGAGGACCAGCATTACACTGGGTATCTAGCTATTTAAAAGATAGGAAACAGTTTGTACAAATAAATGGTGTAAGATCTGACTTGTGCAATATCACTTGTGGAGTTCCTCAAGGCTCTGTACTTGGACCAAAGTTATTTATTTTATATGTGAATGACTTAGTGAATGTATCAGGACTTCTCAAATGTGTCCTTTTTGCAGATGACACCACATTTTTTTGTTTGGGTAAAGATGTAAAACGGATGTTGGAACTGATGAAGACAGAATTTGATAAAATACAAACTTGGTTTAAAATTAATAAATTATCATTAAATTTAGATAAAACTAAATACATGATATTTAGCAACAAAAAGAAAACTGTTGACTATCCATTTAAAATTGAGGGTGTTGAGATTTGTAGAGTTAATGAGATGAAATTTTTGGGTGTAATCATTGATGAACAGCTAACATGGAAAAATCACATAAATTCTGTAAGAACAAAAATATCTAAATCTATTGCAGTACTATACAAAGTCAGGGAATTATTAAATGATAAAGCTCTGTACATGTTGTATAACACAATCATTGTTCCACATTTAATCTATTGCATTGATGTTTGGGGGAAAGCGTGTAAAACATTTACAAAACCTATTTTTATCTTACAGAAAAGAGCTGTAAGAATTATCTCCAGAAAGCATTACTGTCACCCATCAAGCACATTATTTTATCAACTGAAGTTATTGAAGTTCCATGATTTGGTAGATTATAGTATTTTATCAGTTATGTATAGGGCTCAAAATAACACATTACCATTAAATATCCAAAGAAATTTTGTTAAAAGACAAAGTTGTTATAATCTTAAGGGGATAGAAATATTTGTCAAACCAAAATTCAGAACTAGTCTGAAGGGAAGGTCTACCTCAATCCAAGGAGTTGGATTGTGGAATGGTCTAGAGAGTGATGTGAAAAATGTCAAGTCAATGTGTACATTTAAGAAAAAGATCAAATCTAGATTGTTAAAAAAGTATATATGAAGTAGCTTAATGTGTGTTTTGTATTAGAATTAGAAAAATTAGAAAGTTATTCATTTTGTTCTGTTACTTGAAAATTAATATGTCTGAAATAATTGTTTGAAAAAAGGGGCAGATATAAAGATTTTTTCTTCTTTCTGCTGCCTTTCATTTTAAATTTTTTTGTATCTTTTTATATATTGTTATGGAATTGTTTTGTACTTTTTTAAAATGAATAAACTTCATACCATACCATACCATACCAAGTATATTTTTGTCTCATTTGTTTAACTGGGTTCTCTTTATCTAATTTAAAGACTTGTGCAATGACCCGTTATGTCGTTTATGTAGAAATATATTTTAAAGGGTTTACAAACTATCATGAACCACTGTAAATGCAGAGCACAAATTGTTATTGTATGTTCTCATCATACAATGACAATACAGAACACCTTCACTTGAAAACTAGAAACTCACTATTCAAATCAGTCTATGGCTTGTTTGAAGTATAAGGTTGTCATTGGAGTGCCCTTTAAAATGTGAAAGCAAAACAAATAAAAAAACATGTACAAGATGCCCAAAAAGACGTTTCTTTCTATTGTGAGCTGTATCCCTTGCTGGTTTTCAACTCTAACACACTTCAGAAAAACTTTATTTGGCCATCAGTACAACAAATACATTATACGTGTTTTATTTCTTCATTTTAAATGCATGATTTGTCATTGTCCACACTTTCCTGTAGTTTGCACACATCAGCACATTTATATGAAAAAGTGCTTACATCATTATGGACACATATGCAATTTATACCGTTCATTACAAAAACGACTACTTGAAAAATGGTACCATTTAGTAAAGACTTTGAAACAAAATACCACCAGTAAGAACCTTTTAACATCATCCTGAACCAGGTTAGTGTTAATGCTAAAGACATGAGCCCTGCTGGATGAGCTTTAAGATTCAAGAACAGCTGCTAAAATTAAAAGTATCTCATGAGGTTTGCGTCATGTTTATACACTCAAACCAGATGTTTTCTGACTGCATGGTGCAGTAATCTGGACATAAAATCATCTCAATAAAACTAGATATTTGTGTGAAGTGAGTTTTTATCTTCAAAGCATCTTCAGAATCACAGGGATTTGATGCTTGGTCAAGGTATTTTTTAGTGAAAACATTTGTGGGTTTTTGAACAAATTTGAAAACATTTCCTTGAGGCATTCCTGAGATCTCGTTCACAAGACGGAGACACGTCCAAGAAGAAAATCAGAGATCATGACTCGGCTGCAGCTGTGGCACAAAACAAACTTATGCAAAACAAAAGAACACTCAGAGCAGCGACTGCATGAGCTAAAAAGTGCTACAAAGATTTTAGAGATATTTTTCGCAAACCATTTTTTTTCTTTTGTTATTTATTTATTCCTTTTGATACCAATGCTCCATCTAACTTAAAAAAAAATAAAATTAATGTATAGACAAAACAGATGATCCAATAAATTGAACACACACACACATATTTACACAAACATCCCAAAGCTGTTCCCTGAACCCAAACATGCATTTTAATGGACCGTTAAATATTATAAATCAGTGATTAATTACTTGTCACCAATTGCAGCTGGACTGTTCTTTAAAACACAGTTAACCTGTACCAACTGGGCCAGTTGGGGTAGTTAAGTCTTATCTAAGCGGTTCAGATAATGACCATATTTACATCTCTCTACATAAGTTAGCATGTTTGTAAACTCAGATTAACAGGGTTTTATGGCATTAAAAAAAAATCTAAACAAAACATAAAACCATCATGGCACTGGTAACACAAAGGGTTAATGCAAACTGATTGTTTCGGACCTGAACAAGCCTGTAACAGGTGAAAATGTATACATATCCTGCTGGTTTTCAAAGTAAAAGTAGCAATTGTTCAGTTGTTGCTGGAAGATAAGACATTAATGAAACTTAATCAACTTCAAGCTGCACTTGTTCTTTGTAGTTCTGGTGAAGTTAAATTTGTCTAATGTTAAATTCCACCTAAATACAAACGTTAAATGTTTTTACTGAGTTTTTATTTTTAAAGTCAGGATGAGCTCAAAGCTGACTGATTGAAGAGGGGATCACAAGTTTGATCTGTCAGTAACAGAGGCTCTTACATCCACATGTGTGGATACCTGGTCCTAGGAGGTTAAAGAAGCTACATTTTTTTCTAAAATTAAAAAAATTAAATAAAAAAAAAAAGACTAGAGTCCATCCATATAATCTTTGTGATAAAACCCCGTAGAGACATTGTATATTTAATCTAACAGCATCATTGCTGGTGTCAACACTGAACAGTACCCTCTACAAACAGTCACTGGTCACTAAAATATACCCAAGGAGGACTTTGTTCAAGTACCAAAGTGAAATGTCAAAGAAGCAGTTTGGAGCTGCTAACAGTTCACTGTATAAATATTTAAGTTGGTGCATTTTCATTGATCATTGGTCCGATACATTAATAATAAAACGTGATCATTTGGCCTGTGCAAACCATTTCTCCAGTCTTGGTCCATTTTGGTTCTGATGAATGTTCAAGATGTGCAGTTTTACTAAAACATTGACTAATTTTGAGTTAAAACTGTTTCAGTAGTGCCTGACCACCATGGTTTCTGTGTTTGATGGGATGGTGTCAGTGGAAGTGGCCCATTGCCTCGGCAGCCTTCACTCTCACCACAGGGTCTGGGTCTTGGAGCAGCATCACTAAACCTGTAAATAAACTCAATTAAAACCAGTACAAACAAAGTATGCTCCTCTTTTGGAAGAAAATGAAGGCTGTGCTCTACCTTTGGTGATGGTGCCCATGTTGAGGTGAGAGCGGTGCTCCTGTGTGAGATTCCCCAGCAGGAAGCCTGTTGATGGATACGTCGTTACCACCGGGCCACATTTACAGACTCTTTGAAAACACTCAACTCCCACCATCCTTCGCTCCATAAAAACTGACTTAGTTTTCTAGTTTTTCCCCAAAATGTACAGTGAATTTATAGTAGGAGTGAGGCTCGCACCTATAAACATGGCCGCCGCTGCTCTGACCTCGGGCCAGTTGCTCTTGAAGAACTGGATGACTGAGATGTGGTAAAAGTTCAGCATGCCTGGAAAGTCCTGAATCTACAACCAACAAAACATTTACTGCACATCACACAAGAACGTGTGGTTTAACAACAAAATGAACTAAAACAAGAAATCTGAGTGGGTGAATTAAAAACACCTCCAAGTTGTCTACAACTAGCAGATATTTTTATGCAGAGGAACAGACCAAAACATTTAGTAACAGATTTTTTTTAGAAATATAAGTATGCATTTATTGGAATGGTAAGTGTGACTCACCAGGTATTTTGTGAGGTCGTTGATAAACTCTCCATAGTGTAAGCTCTTGTCTTCAAGCAGGTGGTTCTGAAACATGGCTGTGATCTGCTCAGATCCCACCACAGGAGCACACACTCTCATCGCATACTTGCACGCCTGGAAGATTCAGAAACAAAAACACAGATTCGATACGTGACAGGTGCTCTCTACAGATGAGATAAAAAAAATAAAAGTTTTGAATCATATCGTGTGCTCCTGTACCTTGACAACATGTGGGTTTGGGTCCACTAGGTGCAACAGTAAGCTGACCAGAACGTTGTGGATCTGATCTTTGAACACCTGCTCCCCTGAACCAAACTTGGACAGGTTCCCCATCAGAACGATGGACGCACATCGGATTTCATCATTATCCTGGACATCGAGGGAGGAAATTTACTTTTTCATCTAAAGACTGAAGATGACTAAAATACATAAATTACCTTTGGTCTAAATTACTTAATGTGACAAATGTTACACCGTAACAAGTATGCTCTAAATACTTTCAGAACTACAGCAGTAATGTAAAATACTTTAAACTTTATTCCTGCACAAGTTTGTCCAAATGTTATTTTTCCATTGAACAAACTACAAACATCAGTTATAAAACCCAACATAAATAGACAACGGGACAAATCAGTGAGCTATTAAGAGATGGTTACAAAAAAATAGAAAATGAGGGCTACCACTGAAACCCAATGACAAGCAAAGTTATGATAAATCTTCAGGTAAAATGTAAATTAAAAATGACGACTTGGAGTTTACTTTTAAACACTGTTACACTCTGAGCTGTCCTCGGGTCCAAGGTGGTAAATCGAGGCATTAGTTAAGTCTTTGTATCTCACTTTTGAGCTCATTAAAACTATCAAAACCAGGACAAGTGGAATAGAGACTTTGTAGCGACCCCCCACCCTGCCCCCCCACACACAAATAGTCTCTTTGGTCATTGGCTTGGAGTGCAGTTTTCCTTAGATTTTAATCAGTCCTAAAACTCCAAAAGAAAAACTTTAGGTTTCCTAACCGAATCTGAAATACTTTAATAAAGTCTGTTTAATAGGCTCCAGTCCTCAGGAACATTAATCTGTCATTGGTTCAACTATGAAAAGGACATGGAAGCTGTGTTTATACTAGAATTACTTGAATCTAGTCATACGTTGAAGCTTGTGACACCTTTAGAAGTTGAGTTAAATCATCAAGCCTTGGACCAAAGAGCATCACACACAGACAGTGGACCTAAGGTTAAACTTACACTTTCCAGGAATGGTTTAATCTTCATGAAGATGTAGACCACAAGTAGGCTGACGTTCTTCTTGTCCAGGTGTTGGAGAACTTTAGAAAGACCAGACATGGCTTCAAGGGTAATCAGTTTACCTGCAAAAAACACCAGACTACAATTAACTGTGATTTTTATCAATGTGAACAAATGCAGGCTTTACAGTAACAGTTAGCCTAAAAAGAAAGAAACGAACCTGGATCATCTTTCTCCTCCATTCCTGAACTCATGGCTGCCAGAAGCTCTTTGGCATATTTATTCACCTTAAAGGAGAAATACATGAGCGAGCTGCGACTGCATAAAATGTCTTCTCATTTAAGGGCGTGTGTGTGTGTGTGTGTGCACCTTCTCAGGTGATCCTTCCGCTATGTTTCCCAGTCCACGTACAGCCAGCATGCGGACTGTGCAGCACTGATCTGATATTCTCTCCATCATGTTGTTCATCAACACGTCTATCAACATCAGCTCTGTCACCACATGATGGTTCAACAGCTGGAGTCAGGAAATGAAAACGGAAAAAGAAACTTATTTGATCTTGCAATCAACAATTTAAATGTTCAAGAAAAACCACTAGAGAATGGGAATATATATATATATATATATATACACATACATATACATACATACATATATTCATATACATACATATATACATATACATACATACATACATACATACATATACACATATATACATACATACATATATACATACACATATACACACATACACATATACATATACACATATACATATACACATATACACATATATATACACATATACACATATACACATATATACATATACACACATATACACACACATACACACACATACATACATATACATATACATATACACACATACATACATA